GGGAATGACCACGTACAACATTGCTGAGGCAACGTGGAAGTGATAGCTTTGTAGAACTGGAGTTTAGAATTCCATGGAGCAAGGAATTTCTTCAAGCTCCCAGGGCTCGAGGAGAGGTGGAAGACTGATCAGTGACCTCCTGGATAAGAGGAAGGGTACCAACTGGAATGCTCTGATGTTCCCGCAGCACCTCCCTCTTCCCACAGCTCTTGTTTTCTCTACCCTTCCCCTCAATTCCCCCACAAAAGCCGCAGGCGCTGCTTTCCTGCCCTTCCTCCGCTAGAGGGCGGCACCGCAGGGCTCTCGCCACACCCCCCCAGCCCCCGGCAGCCGCTGATTGGTCTGTCCAGGCAGGGCCGAGCGCCCCGAAGGGTAGAACTGGCCCCGGGGCGCGGTACCACTCGCAGCCGTCAGGGGGCGCGGTGGTAGCAGCACATACCGTATGGTCCTGGGCGGAAAGCGGGAGGCCGTGTGGCGACCCGGGTCCTTTGTGGGGCAATTAATGATTTTATGGTCCCGTGTGAGGCGAGTTCTGGTGGTTTTGCCATGAGAGCGGAATAGACTCCACAACTTCGTTAAAGTTGCAAAGTAGGTATGCTTTATTCAGCTGAAGACGCACGGGGGATTGGTCCTCCAAAAGTCATGCGTCCCTCAGTGTTGTTTCCCTCTACATTTATCCTCTAAAGTTACAAGGTTGCACAATACGCCTATACATATTCATATTCTATCCCCGCTTCGTATTATAATGACCTAGAAAGTCCTCTGCGCCTGCGCAGTGCCCCCTCTGGTCATGGGCAGGGGTCTCAAGATGAAGTAAATGAGTCTTCCTCCTGTGGGTAGGGGTCTTCAAGATGAAGTAAATGAGTCTTCCTCTTCTTGAACTTGTCACCTTTTAGTCTTTACACATATGGCCTTAGGGTTTGGTCGGTGCCCCAGCCATAAACCATCTGCTTCTTCCTGTATCCGGCGCCTGCTTTTCCTTATCAATAGCTACTTATCATTATAATCAGGTGTCTGCTTATCAATACGACCAGGTGCCTGCTTTTGCTTATCAATAGGACTTGGTGTCTTTGTTCTGCTTAGTAAGCACTTACAACAGACAATACCTTGTCTAGGCAAGTAAATTCCTCTAACACGAGTAAATTCCTCTAACGCAAGCAAATTCCTCTAACCCCCCTGTACAACCCCCCTGTACATCGGTCAACCCTCTGCATCAGCCACATCCCGCAGACACGTTCTCTGGCTGCACACAGAGCGTTTCCAGCCCCGCACAGGCCAGCACAGTTTGGGCTGTGGGGGCTGGACATCCCCGCACAACTGGGCATGACCTTGGCATCAGAACCCCCAGCCTGGATGAGTGAGCTACTGCCTGAGATTCCTGGGGGATCTCCAAAGAGCGGGAGCAGAGACCAGGGGAGCTGCTGCTCATTTAGTGCCCGATGCCGGTGGCTGGCCAAAGGCACTCAGAACTGCCTCCCCCTGCCTTTTGCTGCTGGGTTTCTCCGCGGCTGCCTCTGGTTCCCTGCCCTGGCTGTGGGCTCGCAGCTCCTGGTGCAGTCCCTGGCTACTTTGTGCTCCCCAGCTCTTTGTTGCAGCAACTACCCGGAGGACAGAACCCTGCATCCTGGCCCTGGCTTTGGTGGAGCCCTAAAACTGGCTGAGTGACCCCAGGTTCACACTCCAAAACCATAGCACTTAATCTCTTTATGAGCCCTAAATCTGGTCTTTTGACCCACAAACCTCAGTATTTTAGTGGACTTTTTTTTTTTTTTTTTTTTTTTTTCCCCTGTTAGTGCTAGAGCTGGCCAAGGAGTCTGGTATCAAGTACCCAAAACTCAGGACTTGGTCCCTGAGCTCAAAGCTGGCCAAGTGATTTTGAGCCCCCGAGTGCAGGACTTGGTCTGTGTTTCTGAGCCCCAGCATCAGCCCAATGAGTCGCCTCATGTCAAGACTTCCATACACAGGACTTCATTTCTAAGCTCTGAACCTGGCTTTTCAGCAGCAAAACACAGGACCTGGGCTCTCTTTGAGCCCTGCAACTGATCACGAGCCGGGCTCGACTCCAACATGTGGGGCTTGGTCTCCATTTCTGAGCCCCAAATCTGGCTTCCTTGACCCCGGTTTCAAGCCCCCAGACCGCAGAACCCGGTCTCTGTGTCTGAACAGGAAGCAGCCCCAGCAGCCGGTTGGTTTCCAGAATCCAACGCCCAAGACTTTATTGGTCAGCTCCGAGCCCAGGCTCGGTCTCCGGTCTCCGCTCCCAGGACCCGGCCACGTGTGCCGGAGCCCAAGTGCCCTCCCCGCGAGCAAGCCCCACGCTCTCGGGAAGCCCCGGGCAGGTCCGGAGCCAGTTTCAGCCCTGCGGGGCTCGGAGCCCTCTGCAGCCACGTCCTGGGAGCACGGGGCTCCCCGAACTCGGGCGCGGCTCTACTGAGCCGCAGCCGCCGCTGGAGCCCTACAGGCCCCGGTCACCGAGCCCGGGAAAGGCAGGTGACCTACAGCCGGCGAGGGCACGAGCGCCACATTCCGTCTGTTCGCGCTTTATTCCCCGGGACCCGGAAGCCCCAGCGTCCCCGTCTGTACCACAACCACCGGCCCCCCCACCGGCGCAGCTCGCGGCACACTCCCCCCCCCCTTAATAGGCATCGCCCCGCCCTCCCCCTCCTTTTAGAGATGGAACTCCGTCCCCCGCCGTCCTTGCCCCGCCCCATAATTTCACAGGTCGCGCTCGCCGCTGGGGTCTTTTCGGGTCCTACTGCTAGCCTGCTCGCTCATACCGCCTTCCCCTGGCCTCCCCGCAGCCCCGTCACCTGCAGTCGCGGTCCCCGTACCCGGCGGCGCGTCTCTCCTCTTTCTTTCTTCATTCCCGGGCAAAACACGCGGAGCTGGACTGAAAGCTCCAGCCAAAGTCCCGGCAACGCCAGCTCCACACCGGTTTCCACCACCACCGCTCCTCTCTTCCAGTTTAACGCTGGCTGTGGCTCTCGGCAACGGCTTCTCCCCGCGCCGTACGGCCACACCTTCCACCGGCACCCATCCCCGCCCCTCGCGTCAGCCGGAGCCCCACGGCGCCAGTTCTGGGCAGTGACCCTCGTACGAAGCTCCCCGAGCAGCAAAACCGGGCGCAGCCCCAGCTCCGGCACCGACGGACGCCCCGATGCTCCCGACTGGGCTTTGTGTGCCAGGAGCTGATGCCGCTGCAGCACGGCCCCGGCCGTGCGTGGACAGCTGGGAAACGCGTTCCCTGCTCCCAGGAAGGACCGGGAGGGGTCCCGCCTCGCTCCCCCATCACATCACCCGTATGTCTCCGGACACAGGTCACACAAACACTAGTGAACCTCAGAACCGCTCTGCAGCACCAGCTCCGCGGCCTCGCGTGTCCCGAGTCCCTCAGCTCCTCGGCGCGTTGCCCGGGGTCCCGCAGCAGGGTCCCTGAGAGCCGTGTGACGAGCCAGCGTCCTGGGCCGAGGCACAGCCCACGGCGGCTCCTCAGGGATGATGGGCGCGAGGCGACGCTTTCCATGGCCAAACACAGCAGCGAGGAGCCTGCTCGGCTCAGGCTGCTCCCGCAGCCCCGGCACCAGTACCTTACTTTGCTACCTAAACCTCCATCTCTGGTTTACCTCACTGGACAGCACTCTCACGTGGCCGACAAACCAGCTCCCTAAGTCCCAGTCTCTAGCCGCTGCTCCTAAGCCTAGTGTGTTAGGACGAAACCAGGAGCTGGGCATGTCCTACCCATGGTGCCGTCCGGAACAGTGCCACCAACACGGACATCCTCACCACCTAAAACTCCATCTGTGTGAAACCTCACTGGACAGCACTCTCTGGTGACTGAGAAACCAGCTTCCAAAGCATGAACGTCCAAACCCTGATCCTAAGTGAAAGGTGCCAGGACAGAAAGCCGATGCTGGGCATGTCCTACACATGGTACTCTCTGGAACAATGCCACCAACATGGCAATCCACGCCTGCTTGGATACCTAAAACGGTATCTGCTTACTCCCCCTCTGTAGAGTGCTATCAGGTGTCCTGGAGAACAGCTCCCAAAGTGGAAACGCCTCCAGCCCCTGCTCCCACACCTAAGGTGTCAGAAGAATATCCTGGCACTGATGTCACCTACATGGTGAGATTAGGAAGAGTGCCACCAACATGGGAATCCACCTTAGCTGGACTGGGCTGGCCTGGGCACTTTCTCCGCTATCAGTTAAGATGAAGTTCTTCCAAATGTACTCTTCTTATGTCTCCTGTGAGATAATTTCTTAATTGCTTTTTGTTTTCAATATAAATTCTTTTCCTCGGAAAATTAAGACAAATCTTCTCTTCGCCAGCTGTTCAGAGAAGATCCAGATTTGTTATTCATTCACATGACATACCATGGTTTGAATTTTAACACACTGAAAATTATTTCAACCATCAAGGCTGTGTGAAAAATGAAGAAGGGAATGAAGATTGGTTTGATGCAAAACAGAACTTGACAGTAGCAAATCCTTCAGTAACAGCCAAAACCACAAAAAAGCAACAAGAAGAACAAGACACAGCTGATTTAAGAGGTGAGGTTGTGTGCTTTAAGCTGCTGTACCTAATAATGGTGTGTGTTGGTTATTTGAGTATTGTGATCCTTCCACAAGCATAAATAAACTTGGAAAAAATGCTAGCTAGGTTTCAGATTCTTTTCCATTGACTTGCCATGAATCCTTGTACAGCTATTCAGCTCCCTCCATCCACAGTTTTCCTTGAAAACTTCACTTACAGTGGTTAAACTAAATTTAGTTGATGTCCAGCCAGTCACCTAGCTGGAAATCTTTCTTTTTTAACCTGTTCCTTCTTTTTCTGCTTCCTTCTCCACACTGACTTCTGAACAGGGAATGGTCTGTGTTTGGATGCTTGGGTCCCAGTGGTGGGCATAGTTAGAAGTCCCAGTCTGTTGAAAGCAGAGATCTTGTGGGGACTTGGAGTACACTGCCCATGCTTTAGCACTGGTACCTGTTAGTTCAGACCAGTGTTTTCTCTGGTTGTGCCTCTTCTGCCTCTTCAAACCTCAGAGAACACTCAGGAAAAGCAGATCTCACAAACTGAACTATTCTGCTTCTCAGGATGCTTGTTTTCTGTAAGAAGATACTCTTACAGGTTTTTAACAGGTTTTTCATCTATGCTTTCTGAAATCTACTGAGATGTTAGCTTGAGCTGGAACAAAAATAGTAACACTTTACTTTCTCACATTCATTGTTAGAAGCAAGGAGTGGAAATGAGTATTCTTTTGTTTGTGTTGATGGCCTAAATTCCTCAGTGTCAGAGGTACGTCCTTATTTACACAATGCAGTAATGTCTTGCCTCTTTCTGAATTCTTTCATATCATACACTTGCAACCACATATTCTTCTATTTTGTAGGCTGATCTAAGATCACATTTCCAGAAGTATCATATTTGTGACATTCTTGTATTTGCGGAATCTAATAACTGCAGGTATATTAATGGAAGTTTTACTTGTTTCAGATTATTTTTTTTTTCTGTCAAAGTAAGCAAATCATGGGAGAGAGGACATAGTTGTTCATTCATTTCAGTAATTAACAGAGATATAGATAGGTCGACAAAAGCTTATCACTGCAGACAGCTTTTCACCTTATGAGAAGCTGAGCCTGAAATTTTCTGTTGAGTTTAATGGAGATACAGTTAATGCTCAAAAGCTGAGAACCGTCATGTGTTATTACCAAGAGTAATTTAATGTGCTTTACTTAGTTTCTTTTTTCTTTTTTTTTCTTAAATTTTATGCCATAGATGTGCACTTATTTCCTTTGAAGACATTAGTAAAGCCAAGTTAGCTGTAGAGGAAATGAACCAGAAAAAGATAAAAGGAAAAGAAATAACTATTAAAATTGTAAATACTGTACCAGAGAGTAAATATGTGGTTTCCCAAGTGCTTAAAAATACGCTTTTGCGTGACATCCAACCTGCTGAGGAGAGTCAGAGAAATGATCAAAGTAACACACTCACTTCAGCCTCCAGTGCTGTGGAAGCCCCCGTCACTGCTTCTGCTTCTGAGAAGATAACTTCTTCAAAAACCTCTTGCTCTACACATGTACCTGCAGAAACAAAGTGCCCTGATGGCAAACCATCTACTGAAGATCCTTATTGGCTCGAAGTTAAACAAAAGGTAAATAATTATTGCTAAGGATCCTTCACATGGCAAATGAAGAGCTTTAAAACTTCTTGTAACATGTTGCATATGTATATGCATATTGCATATGCATATGTATAGAGAATGATGTTAGGATAGGAAAACATACTACGTGTCATTAACAAATTCCTGGCATGCTGCTTCAGAAGAGTGAGAGCACCAGTCATGTGCTTCTGCATCAAACTCTGATACTCCATGTAGTTTTTCTTAATCCTAAACCAGCTGAGAACCCAGTAATCTGCCCTGAGTTTTCATCCTGCTTTTCTCCTCTTCTGAGTTTCCCCTGGTAACGCTTTTTTAAAGTGAATGTCTTGCAGTGTTATACAAGAAAGATTTTGGGATACTGGAGGGGCAGCTATTGGGGTTTTTAATATAAATCTAAGAAACATCTCTGTTTAAGTTTAGTATTTTATATTTGCCCAGCTTGGTCCTTGGAGGATAAGGCAGTTAGTAATTGCTGGTGTTGCTTTCATAAACTAGATAGATGTGCTACCTTTGGGAATTTAGCTTTTAAACTTGCTAGTCCACTGGGAAATGTATATTTGATCTAATTCAAAGTAGTGGAAACGTCAGTTACACATAAATGCATGTAGTAGTTGTATTTCTAATACATCATCTATCCAACCCAACCCATTCTATGGATAATGTGACTGGTTGTATTAGAATAACTTATTGAGCTGAATCTGTATCTGTCATTTTTTTCTTTCTCCATAACAGGAATATTTATTAGTAGTAAAGAGATGTATTACTTGCAAAAATGAGTTAAATATTGTACTTAGTTGATGCAATTCCAGGATACTGGAGAAAACTTCCTGTTTAAACCATCTCCCTACTCCAGTAAGTCACATGATGTCTTTATTTTATCTGTTAATTTGAACTTGAGCAGTTTTACCAAATAATTAACAAACTTAGAGGACTTCATCCACAGGCCAGCAGGTGGGAGGATTTGGATTTCCTTTCCGCCCTGATTTCTAATGGATCAAATATACATGGTCACTAAGTCCTAAATGTATTGCACAATGTGTTAAGTAAACAGTTCTTTCTTTTATTCATCTAGAGGCACAATTTTGGCTGCTTTGCTGGAGGTGAGGGAAAACAACAATGGTATCCTAAGTGGCTTGTCCATCAATACCATTGTGGCAAGGACCTCTGCCATTGTAAGGAAACCCAGTCAGAAGTGAGAAAAGGCATGTAAATAAGTGGGTATTCTAGCCTACAGAAATACATTGAAATACCTTTCCCCCTCTCCCCAAATTTGTGTAGCTGTACAGCCTGACTAGATTAGTAAGTAACTTAGTATAAAGCTCTGAAAGAAGGATGTGAATGAATCCACGGAAGCAATAGCTTCTCAGCATCACTTGCTGTTTAGCAGAACATCTGTAAACAGGCTGGCTTGCTAGCTCTGTGCACTTTTTAAGTATACTGCTGGGCTTATTATGTCAACTATGGTACTGATTAACTTAGTGGAGACTATCAAACATATTCTGTACAAAGCTGACACCTAATGGCCAGTCCTTGCGTAGCAGTTCATAAAAGTAACCCCGCAGAGGCTCAATTTTGGTTTAAAACTTGAGGATTTCTCTGTGATGGATGAGTTCTGGAGTAGAAATCTTAACAGAATAAGACTGTATTTCTTTTAGGTTTTTTTTTCATTTTAAAGGACACCTGTGATGACACAGCACGGGATGCTGCAGGAAGCTGCAACAAGCTGAACATGCTAAAAACACAGCCCAGAATTCCAGGGATATACTCCTGCAGAAGACATCCTGGAGCTGATGCTTGTTTCAGTCTCCTAATAAGCCTGGTATTCTGCTTACTTTAGGGCTGCTAGCAGTGCCACTATCAGGTTTCCTGCACTGTCCCGGATGTTCTTAGCAATGCTCCAGCTTCACTTTTGCCTACAAACACAACCTGTACAATATTCATTCTTCCACGTTGCTTCCTCCCCAGACTGCATCAAATTCTTGACACTTTGATTTTAGTCTCAAAGCCCCTGTTTCGAGGATGTCAAGGAGTCAGTCTGGCTTTAATCAATACCACCTCTTCCAAGATGAATAGCATTAAGTTTTACATATCTGAGTATCTTTGCCACCCATTCAATGTAGCTTTTCAGACTGAATTCTCTAGGCAGATGCTTGCGCACATGTTACTGTAGTGCACAAGCAAACCACAACACAGCCTTAACTTGACCAGAGCTGCTGTACATTAGATACGAGAACTGTACTAAGAATAGAGTGGTTCTGCCCAGTAAGACAAAACAGGAGCTTGGGCTAGAAAAGCTTCCATAGACGCATTAAATATACAAATGGATGCTTATAAGTCATTAATCTCAGTCCTTGTCAGAAAAAAAATGACTGTAGATTGTGTTAGATATGCAGAGGCATAGGACAGGATTTTACATACATAGTGATGAAAAGCATGAAGGAATCTCAGCCAAGATGCATGTCTGTCTGAATTCCTTTTGAAGGGATTAGTGTGACACAAATTTGTTACTTTGCCCATTGACTGCCCTGTGAGCTTTTACAGATGCCTCTCTGAATCAACATAAATTTGACAAAAGAGAACTCTGTATTAATCCACTGACTTGTCCAGGGCTGCAGATATGGATGTACACTCATAAAATCTCACACTTGGAAATAGTTTTAGTTACTAAGGTTTTAATGGCCTCGAATGTGTTGTGCTTTCCCTGTCAAATGATTCGTTTGTTTTAAATGGTGTGTGGGCTTTATAGTCATAATTATTCCTATGATAGCATTTTGTTCTCTGTTGCTTTGCTAAAGAGATGCTGACCTATAACAATTTTTACTTTCCTCAAGAGGAGGCTGTGAGATAGCCAAGTCGTTAGTAAGTAATGGGGAAAAGAATTCTCATCTTTCCATAGTAAGAAGCATGTAATATGTTTAAGAAAAGATTCTTGAAAAAATTGTGCTGATGTTCTGCTGTTTCCAGCTCTCACCCTTTCCCTCTCAGCAGCGCTGCTGTAGGCAATGCATTGGGAGTCCCAGCCTTGTCTTTAGCCTCCAGTACTGTAAACTTGGTCCTGAAGCTGCAGTGGAGGCCTCAACTTCAGTTTCTTCCCTGTTCATATCAATCTGAAAGCAGCCATAAGCTTTGCGCTACATTAACACATTACAGCACATTCTGCTGGTTGGGCTCTCCAGACATGATTCTGTTACTAGGCAGGTGTTATTAACAATTTAGGACAGAACTGGCTTTCTGGTATGCAAGCTGTTTTGTTTCTGCTGGGAAGGCAGAAACATGGATGATGTGAAACACTCAAGTTAGCACCCTGTGCTGGTCATTCCTGTTTCCTTGTTCTCTCAAATGTGTGAGAACAGATACAGGAAGCAACGACCTCCCTGCGGCTGAAGTCCTCACCCTCTATCTGAATCATATCCTAAGTGAGCACTCCATGTTATAAGCTGCAGGTGGAGCTGTATGAGCTCAGTCAGGATTTTCCACTCAGTTAAAGCAAGCAAAAAACCTCCCAACAAACCACTAAACATTTTCTCCTAAGATTGCATTGCATCCTCTATGTTCATATTCAACACTGTAAAAAGAAGGAAGGGAGTATTTTTAGCGTGAGGCTAGACAGAAATTCCTATGGTGGAAGTGCAAGGAGGGATAAGAAAAAAGGGATTTCTGGGTGCTTTGTTTTGTTCCCTGTCCCGTGGCTCTGGACACTCACCTGCCCGTTCCACTGGGAGGAGATGGAGCTAACGCTGCCTTCCCCAGGCATGACGGTCTCAGGTGAAGCCTGCTGAAGCCACCTGCCTTCGGTCGCAGCTTCAACTAAACGAGAGAGCCGGAGGCTGTGCACAAGGACCCCCGGCGGAGCATCTCACCTTACCGCACCTCTCACCTCACCTCACCTCACCTCACCTCACCTCACCTCACCTCACCGCACCTCACCTCACCGCACCGCACCAGGAGCCGGTGGGGCAGGCGCTACGCGGGGCAGCCGGAGACTGGGCCCGCCCCATGTCCCCGCCACCACCGGGATCGGAGAGGAGGGGAGCCACGACCGGCGCTGGGGGAGGATCCCGCCCGCCGCCCCGCTCCCTGCCGGGGGCCGGGTGTGCGGGACAGAGCGCAGCGGCGATGGCCCTGCTGCCGCGGCGGTTCCTCTGCTTCGTGCTGGGTAAGTAGCTGCGCACCCCCGGGCTCCAAACTTACCGGTGCCGGACGGGACGCGGAAAGAGCGGCGGTACCGTGGGACGGGGGGCAGCGGGAGAAGCACCCTTTGAAACCACGGTGCCTCTGCCCTGCGAGAGGAGACGGTGCTCAACACTGGTCGCCTCCCCGGAGGCTTTACCCCTGACCCGATCTTGAAATGTGCCAAGTCTCCAGCAGGGAAAGCAGGTGGAAATGGAAAGGAGGAATAATCTGTGAGCTCCAGGACATAACAAAACGTCTCACTTGGCCTCTAAATGAATGATGAAGATGCTGTCAGATACAGCCTGTTTTGTGTAGGATTTCCCATTTGGTGGGTGAGATTTTACTGAGGCGTGCTTGTGCGGGGAGACATCCTTTGGCATTTGTTTCAAAAGTGGAAATTAATTACCAGGAGGCTGCTTTAGGAGTCTCTGGCTACCTATTTCTGAGCCACAGGGAGAGGACACAGCTATGAGTGCTTGCTTAAGCAAGCTGAGATTGGGCATTCTGGGTTTTGCAGGTGATTGACTTAAAACCAGGTTGGAAATCCTGGCATTGCCTGGTTATTTTCTCAGGGTGCAGAGTGCCTGGGTTTCAGTGATGCTCCCAGCATTTCATATGCAACAGGTTGTGCAGTGTTTGTAACTGATGTATCCGCAGCAGAAAGCTTGGAAGGATCACATATTGGTGCTCTATGGAAGAAATATGCTTGTTTAAGGTTACGTAAAGGGGAGCTGAGACCCTCGTCCTAACACTGATCGCCCATGAAATCAAAGCACTCTGTGAGGAAGCCTGGATTTCTCCTTCTTTCACTTC